AAATCGAAAAAAAAAAAAAAAAAAAATCACCACGAGGGTAACGTCCACAACCGGCCCCAGGGATTGATGACTCAGTTTGGATCAGAACCCATCAGCTAAGAGGGATAAAATTAACTTCCCCTCGTAGACATCAACAACAAGCCAAAGGGGATGAAAATGGCTTGGTTCATTAAATATTCCACATTATGCTTTCAAAACCACGTCTAAAATCGCAAAGCCATTAGCTCTGTAGCAGTTCCTGTCACCAGCACTGGCTTTTCCTGTTACTGCTTTAGTTGTTTGTTTAACACGCAGCATCACAAACTCCTTGCTCCATAGCAGGTTGTTTTAAGCCTCAGGCAGACCTACCTTTTCTGTCTGCCAAGCACCTGCGAAGCAGCTTGACAGCTTCCCGCCGGCCCTGCTTTGCGGCGAGGATCAGCCAGTCCACGGCGGTGCAGTTGTTGAGCTCTTCGTCGGCGGTGTCGGCCAGTCGCAGGTAGTGTTTCCCCACCTGCAAGCCAGATGCTGCTCACTCGTTTCTGGAACCCACTCCCGCCCCATGCTCTCAGCCAGCCCACCAACTCTCACCCCCAACTTGGGTAACCAAGACCAAGAAGAAAGGTGGCAGAAGCAGAATCCCACTGGGCATCCGCACTAGGCTGGACCCTCCTGGGCACCTACCCCTCCCCAAAACACAGCAAGGCAGGTGCGACCCAGCCCTTCATAGACAAGGGAGTTACGACAGACATATGGAGCCCAAAATGGCTCTTTGCAACAAAGGCTTGCTACCCTGGCCCAACCCTCTCATTCGCTAGAGGGAAAAGTGAGGCTCAAGTACAGAGAGCCCACAAAAAGGCTGACTGTGTTCCCTGACCCCCGAACGCCCAGACGACAGGCTGTGGGCAGGACTTCAAAGTATAAGGCTGACACAGTTTTGCCTGGAAGCTCTGACCCTCCTCAGGGGAAAGTGGGGTGGGAAATCATTCTGGATGGCTGTGGTCACCCACGTGTGCCGGTACCCAGGGACAGAGTGAGTGGTGAGCAGTCATGCTCAGGGGCGTGTTTCTGTGGCCTCTCTCCAGCTACTCGGGGATATGAAAGTGTGTGGAGGTGGAAGAGTGGGATGGGGCATGGAGCAAGCAGCCACAGTGGGCTAGAGGGGGACGACTGGTGGGAGGCAGGGAGGGTGCCCTGGAGGAGGTGATGCCTCAGGTGAGCTGTCAGCTAGACAAGGAGGCGAACCTGTGCTTCCCCGGGAACCCAACCGACATGGAGCTCAGCCCATGATGGGGCACGGCATGCTGGTTCCTGTCCCCGTTTCCATGGCACTGCTTCTCTTCCAGGGGCCACAGGACTCTTAGCCAGGCCTGCCGTTCTGAGGATCGGGTCCTGACCTTCCCCACCAGACACTGCAGTTCTCACCTCTGTCTGTGCCTTGGGGTCCCCAGCCTTGGCCTTCTCCAGAACTTCTTCGAAGGGGATGTCCGCATCTCCCTTTGCAGGCCCTTTAACATTGGAAAATAGACGGAATGTCACAAAGCCAGACCCTGTCACTTGTCAGAGGAGTGGAGGCAACAGGAACGGGCTTCTGAGGACTTGGTGCTGATCTGCACTGTACGGCCCATTGCCAGAAGCGTGAGGAAGACACTGAGGCAAAGAATGAGCCCAGAACGAAGCCGCTTGCTTCCAAATCCATAGATGGCCATGGAGCCACAAATTCTGCCCCAGTGGGAGCTACTCGGAGCTCCCTGGGTGGGAGGTTGGGAGGGAGGGCATAGACCCATGCCCCACCAGGGCGCCATGCTCAGGCCTGCTCCATCCGGGGTGCCAGAAAGCCCTGAGGGCTCAAACTTGAAAGCCCCCAACCCAAATCATAAAAGAAACTGCACCAATGCCCAGCATCCCCAAATCAAGCCGAGTTCATGTTTTCCACGACCGTGTTATCAGAGACACGTCTGTGGAGGTTACAGTCCGTGTACACACACCTCGGCCTGCAGGGCGAACACTGCAGACTGGGTGGCTTAGAAAGAACAGACATTGCCAAGTCCGGAGGCTGAAGTCCAAGACCAGGGTTAACAGCCGGTGCAGTGCCTGATGAGGGCTGGCCTGGTTCAAAGGTCTTTCAGTCCTGTCCTCACACGGTAGAAGGGAGAGGGAGCTCTCTGGGGCCTACTTTCTGTTTTAAGTGTATTCATTCAGACCTTCCATGAGAGGCACTCCCAACAGGCTCCTCATGAGAGCCACACCCAGTCCCGGCCAGCATGGATCACGGCACATCACACACCCCCGTGTGCTCAGGGAGGCCCCAATGCACGGCCCCGTCCTCACACGAGCCACATCCAGTCCCGGCCAGCATGGATCACAGCACATCACACACCCCTGTGTGCTCAGGGAGGCCCCAATGCACGGCCCCAGGGCCTCCCCGTGCGGGTCCGTTGAATGAGCACTACACCGCCTGGCCTGTGGGGCCTTTTCCATAAAGGTTAATCCCGTATTCGAGGGCTCTGTCCTCATGATCTAATTACCTCTCCACACCTCCCAGCCAGAGCTTCCGAGGTTCCCACTGGGGTAGACATCGCTGCTGTGCTCACCAGAGAGACAGAGGAGAAAGTGAGAAATCGCCCCCCAGGGAGCATAACCACGCCACAACCCCTTCTCCTTCATTCTGCTCTCAAGATTTGGGGCACACACACGTGGACTGGCGTGTTTTTCAAGTTGTTAGGTCCAGGACTTGAACTGTGGAGCCGGTCACCTGGGATCCAGCACCTTAACCACCACACCATCAGCTAGCCCAGGGCCCCACTTCTCAATACCATCACACTGGGGGTTCCAGCATATGCACTTTGTGGGGATGCAATCCTACCACACGTGAAGTGCTTGTCAGAACAGGCTTTTGCTCGCTCCTCCTGGAAACAGAAGGCAGAATTAAGGGAAGGCACACATGACCCCCAGTAACTGCGCATCGAGGACCACCCTCTGATTGTCCTGGGTTTACCACGACCCGCTCAGGGCCAGACTCTGAAGCACTGAGTTAGCCCCTTCCTGCCTGGGGGCACCTCGTCTGTGGAAGATGGATCCAGTCGGAGGTGGCAGTGGGAAGTGGCCCAAGGTATGTGGCCAGCGAGAGTCCAAGACAGAGGGACGGTCACTCCAGTCTGAAGATAGCAGAGGGAGGCTGGGACGACTCAAAGATGCGGGTCCCACACAAGGGCCCCAAGGCAAGGCATGTGTCGGGGAAACAGGAATCTGAGGGACTCTGCCTGAGACTCCGGGGCAGGGATGCAGCCTGGGTGACAGCTCAAGGACAGTGCGACACAGCGGAGCCCCTTCCTGTGCAGCTGCAGGCTCAGCTGCCTCACCGTGGTCCGCCAGGCCATTACACGAGGGCAGCTCTCGGATCCATGAAGCAGCACCAAAGAAACCCACTCCCCAGTGGTCCCCGACCTCAGTACGACCTGGATCCATCCACACGTCTCTCTTCCTGTCACTGTCCCAGCACCCCAGACTTGCTCACCTGTGACCTCAGTATGACCTGGATCCATCCACACATGTCTCTCTTCCTGCCACTGTCCCAGCACCCCAGACTTGCTCACCTGGGTGCATTCTGCTGTGGCTCAGCTGTAGGCTGAGACGTCTCAGAAGGACTAGCAAACCCAAGGCCTGCAGGCTCACAGAGAAGGAGGGTGTGCATTCAGAGCGACCCCGACACGCGAGGAAGCCCGCCCGCCATGGTGAAGCGCTGTGTGACCTAGCAGTCACCCCCCTCTCTGAGCCCATGTGAAGTGACCATTTACGAGAATGTGACAGCATACTAAGTGTTGGAATGAGACGCTTTGTACTAAGTGGCTGGTCCAGAGCGGGCATCACGGGATGCGGCTCTTGTCCCTTTCCACTTGCCCCAGTCGGTAGACACACGGACTAAACAAATTCCCTGCCGTGCCACGCTCCCCAGCACAACGCCGGGCACGGCCCGTGAGCGAAACTCTTCTCTTGACTAAATACATTCACAAGTCGTGTCATTTTTTCCCTTTAAAAATAGTTAGACAATTCAAGCGTACATCTGTTGGCTAAAAAGATTCCTCTAGTCCGTGATTAATTTTCGCAGAAGTTATTCATAGCCTGACATTTCAAGACGTCTCCCCAATACACACAATCTCTTCAACACACACGACACCATCCTTACTCCAGCTTCCAAGTGGCGGCAGGAGGATTATCTCCACAACCACCCAAACACTGGGCTCACACCGCAGCCCAAAGCGAGGGTTCTGGCTTCTTCCACGCGAGGAGGAGCTTTCGTCCAACATGCTCACTGCTCAGTGCCAGCCAGATCCCCTCCTGAAACCGGCCGAGTCAGCGTGGCCCGCCAGGCCCTTTGCTGCTGGCTCGTCCCGGTGACAGCATCTGATGCCCCTTTGGGAAACCTCCCTCTCCCACTTCGAGTCCTGTAGTCTGGGGAGTCCCCCCCCCCACTGCAGAGGGAGCATGCAAGCCCACCTGCCCAATCAGAATGCTCTTCTCGTCTCTCTGACAGCGCTGGTTCAGGGTTGGACACAGACCCCAGTCAGGACGGTGAGGTTTGTGTTGGAACTGCTGGGAACTGGACTCCCTCCTTCTGCTGACCTCGACAGGGCGATGCCAACTCAGACCCCTGTGGGGAGTGCCCACCTGAGAGCCAGGACACAGGACAGCAGAGTACAGTGGGGGAGGGGGAGAGCACTTCCCAATGACATCAGCTGAGCCCCTGGATCCAGCTGTGCCTGAAGCCAACTATAGATAAAGGGACTAAATAAATCCCTTTTCTCTCTCCTATTCTTTTCTAGCGCATGTAAATTTATATTGAACTAAAAGGGACCTAAGTCTAATTTCCTGCCAGTCTTCCTAGTGATCACTAAACAGCAGTAACGAGAACCACGTGACCACAGGCAGGTCTCCTCCCCTAGTGAGGACCCACGGAGAATGCCCCTCACCCCATCTTTTAAATTTTGTATCTCCCATGGATTCCTTGCAGCTCAGCAATTCACATGTGCCACACCGGATCAGAAAATGACTCTCCTCTCCTTGTACCACCGGGGCGAGGAGCGCCTCCCCTAGGACACAGTCCTCATCCTCGCAGGGCCCACTGCCACTGGAACCTGGTGCACGGTCTGTCATGGCCCCCTCAGCCCCCAGGGGCACGCTCTGTGCCCTGGGCCTACGTGTCTATCCCAGGGCTCCCAGCACAGCACTGGGCCCTGGGACAGGGCAGCCCCGCTCAGGCTGAGGGGACAGAGGGCGACTAGACGGGAGGGCGGTGAGCAGGACCCGCAGCTCCACCCCTCACAGTCCTGCACACACGGAGCATGGCGCGGTGTGACAGGGACGCGCCCTGACTGCAGCTCCCCGAGGGCCCATGGGTTCTGTACAGACGGGCGCACCCTGTGGGAAGAAGTCTCCCTCCACCCACCCGGAGCACTGGAAGCACCCAATGCTGGGCCTGTGCACAGAACTTGCGCGTGCGTCCGTGTTTATCAACAGCGCACGCGTGGCACGCGCTCTTACAGGAGGGTGCGGTTTTCGGCACACGGTAATCCAGGATGACACGACACTGTCTCCACGGGTGCTGCCTCCGTTTCTCACTTCCTCGCTCATGGACCCTGGGCAAGGCCTCAGCCCCCATGGCACCCACCGTGTGGGATGTGGCGGGAGAGGTGAGAGCGTGGCAATGCGCCACGTCAGGATCCCTGTGGGCACAGCGCGGGGCAGCCGGGGTGGCCTCACACCGAGGGCTGTCCACCGGCTCCGTCCTGCCTATTCCGGCTCTTACGAGCAAACAGGATGGACAACCCTTGTCACGCTCCACTTCCCAGGCCGGCCGAGCTCTGGGCAGGACAGAGGCTGGGGTCACCCCTCCACAGGCCCTGAGCCACACCCATAGACCCAGCCCCCATCCCTCCCCCACAGGAACATGCTGAGTGCAGCTATAGGCCATCTGAGTGTAGGAGCCAAGGGCCCCGACTGAGGCAGGACCCCGCCCTTGCCGTGGCCTGGCCCTGGGGCCAGGGAGGATGACCACGTTCCTGCAGTGCAGGGTCAGGGGCTGTCCGGGTGACTGGAGGGTCGAGCCTTGGAGGTGACGTCCAAGGCTTGGAGTGTAGCAGGAAGTTAAAGGTGACATGGGAAGGCACACAGACATGCGTCTAAAAGCAGGCTCCACAGGGTCTCGCCTGGCCCTGCTGTCAGGTCTCCCGACAGGTCAACATACAGACAGGCCAGGTCAGCATGAAGTGGGGGATGTGTGAAGCTGGTCCCTGCGGTATCAACAGCCCGGCACCCTGATGCCAGTGTCACTCACTGTGTGACTTGTCCCTGGGTGCAGAGCTCTGCCCACACACACCTCACGTCCACATCAGCTATCTGGCCGTCCCTGGCCCCCACAGTAGCCTCCAGAACCAAGCTCTGGGCCCACTGGGAACCACTCTCAGGTCCCCATCTCAGACTGTGCCACCACTGTTCAGCTAGCAGCTCT